GAACAAGGTCGCTATGGGCTTCATTCGCAAGGGAACTATGGCCAACCTTACTCGTTGGTGCGTCGTGATTCGTGCTCCTAGCTTCAATCAATGTCCATCCCGCGCTAACTCGCGTTGCTAGGTTCACCTTTGTCGAAGTCACCTACCCCGAGATCCAAGCCGAGACGAACGCTGTCGATGCTGAGCGCAAGGCCAAGGTCGTTGCCGCTAGCAAGAAGGGTGCCAGCTACTCTCTTGCTCTTCAGAACGCCGAGGCCGGAGTTGTCACCAGATTCCTTCCCGAGCCTTCGTTGGTCCTCCCTCAAAACATTACCTGATAGACAACCTCCTAACCATGTAACAGAGGATACCTTCACATCGGTCACGCCAAGGCCGCCCTTCTCAGCGATTACTTCGCCCACGAGGCCTACAAGGGCAAGCTTCTGCTGCGTCTTGACGACACCAACCCCGCCAAGGAGAGTGAGGAGTTCCAGGATGCTATTGTTGAGGACCTGAAGATGATGGGCATCACCCCCGACTCCCTTTCCTACACTTCCGACTACTTCGACTACCTGTACGAGACTTGCATTCGCCTGATCAAGGAGGGTCACGCCTACGCCGACGACACCGAGCAGGAGACGATGCGAAACGAGCGAACCGATGGAATCGAGTCCAAGTGCCGTAACCGCTCCGTCGAGGAGAACCTGCGCATCTTCGAGGCCATGAAGGAGGGTACCCCCGAGGGCCTGAACAACTGCATCCGTGCCAAGATCTCCGTCGACAACGTCAACAAGGCCCTGAGAGATCCCGTCATCTACCGCTGCAACGTTGAGAACAAGCACCACCGCACCGGTGACAAGTGGAAGATCTACCCCATGTACGACCTCGCCTGCCCCGTCGTCGACTCTCACGAGGGCGTCACCCACGCTCTGAGATCGACCGAGTACACTGACCGTAACCCCCTTTACCAATGGTTCATCGACACCCTGAAGCTCCGCCAGGTCTATATGCACGACTTCAGCCGTATCAACCTCGTCCGCACCTTCCTTTCCAAGAGAAAGCTCGCTAAGATCGTCGCTCAGGGCACCGTCTGGGGCTGGGACGACCCTCGTATGCCCACCATCCGTGGTGTGCGCAGACGCGGTATGACCATCCCCGCCCTCCGCGAGTTCATCATCAAGCAGGGCCCTTCCCGAAATGTTGTCAACATGGACTGGGCGTCGTTCTGGAACATCAACAAGAAGGTCATTGACCCCATCGCCCCCCGCCACACCGCCATTCTGGAGAAGGATGCTGTCAAGGTCAAGGTCACCGGTGCCGACGCTCCCACCACTCCTCGCACCGAGGACAAGCCTAAGCACCCCAAGAACCCCGATGTCGGCACCAAGAAGGTTGTCTTCTCCAACGAGCTCATCCTCGACCAAGCCGACGTCAAGAGCTTCAAGAAGGACGAGGAGTTCACCCTCATGGGCTGGGGCAACGCCTTCGCCCGCGAGATTGGCGCCACCGACCCCATTACCGACCTCAGCGTCGAGCTCAACCTCAAGGGCGACTTCAAGACGACCGAGAAGAAGGTCACGTGGCTGTCGACGGCCGGCACCAAGCTCGTCAAGGCTGAGCTCTGGGACTTTGACTATCTCATCAACAAGGACAAGCTCGAGGAGGACGACGTGCTTGAGAAGGTGCTCAACCCCAACACGTCGACCATGGAGACGGCGCTGTGCGATGCTGGTGTCGGTGAGCTGAAGAAGGACGACATTATCCAGCTCGAGAGACGGGGCTTCTACCGCGTGGACAAGGGTCTGGATGAGGGTGACGTAGTTGTTCTGTTCAACATTCCCACTGGCAAGGCCAAATAAGTTATTTCGCTTCTTCATTTGTAGGAAGATTCAGGCCATGAAAGACATGAAGAATTGAAGTATGAAGTAAAAGCATGATCTGGTCACTGTGACTCTTGAAGCCCCGTAACCGTATGCGTACTAAATATCGCAGAAGACACATTCCTGTGAAGTGTTTCGTCATTTAGTGCTTGTTGTGTGTCGCTCCATAGGTCTATCATGCTAGGCACAAACAAAGACAAGCAGAGTCACACGTTTCGCCGAGGAATGAATATCTAGAGAGAATGAGATCGATTTCTCGACTATAGCTTCTAGTGTTGAAGTTAGGTGACATGTCTGTATTCTATCTACTCTTCCTTGCATCAGCAGTATATTGTCAGTGAGAACCATATTTGTATGGACGGGGAATTTGCGCCCGAAAAGTGAGAAATGTCTGTTGCGTGTCCTGCAGACCCCTGAGCAGTGAATGGCGAGCATGGAGAGACAATCAGACCATTCGCCTTCATCAGCTAACTCTAACCCCAGACATTCATCCCCGCGATTGAGGCAGCCTAGAACGTTCATTATTCTCACCCCACTGCTTCCCGCATGACTTCTGTAAGGATCGCCAATCGCGGGGTCTAACACTGACAGCCAGGTGGGTTGGGTTGAGCCGTTGGTGGCTAGCCTCGGTGACCCAACAGCTACCTCGATCCTCGTGCCTCGAAGCTGCCTGCGGATGAGCAGCTTTGTACACTAGACTGAGAAGCCATTCACTGAATGTTTCGAACTCTACTGGACCGGCTCATTCATGTCTGGCTTCAGTCTGGATGTACCGGCTTGAGGACACCGGTCCCAGTCCGGTTGAAGAATCCGCGCACCAAATTATACATGTCTGGAAGCCTACCCAGCCAAACGACTCTTCACCTCGTAATTCCCCAGAATAAGAAAGGCGTAGTCCTTCGATGCAGCCGAACCGGAAGCGTGGGGCGACATTCCCGGCCAAGATCGGGAGAAGCTCCCATCGTGCCACGAAGCGTACCTGATCTCGCCTCATCCTCACACCGACACTCTTGCATGAGATTCCACCAATCCTCCACCATCGTCCTGCATCAGTTTAAATAGAAGCTATACACGTTGCAACTTTTGGTGGTTTACAATTCTGAATATCAGAGCCACTCCTTGATAGCCTTATCAGACCCCAAGTTACACACGTCCAGTATCGGAATCTTGCATTATCTCCTGCAGCTAATGAGCTACCCTAGTCCACCCATTCACTACCGCTCTTTATTAAGGTCAATCCCGTCCAAGTCAACCCAAGCTCTTCGGGAACGAGACCCCCTCTACAAGAACTTCAGGAACACATACCCAACTTCAGTCAAAATGGCCGAACCCAACAATACACCCTGGCCCCCAGCAACACCACAATCTCAAACCCCTCTCTCCGCGTCGCCTGTCCTCCACCCCCATCCTGGCGGTCAAGTAGAACCCATAACGGCAGCATCGCAAGCATCAGCAGCAACAAAAAACGGCACGAATAAGCTCCGCGTCCTACACATCGGCGACCCGATCAAGTACAACCCGGAAACCTACGCCGCCTTTTCCGCGCAATGCGACATCATCCGCCCCTCGACGCCCGAACGACAGCGCCCCGCATTCGCTGCCGCATTACGGGACGGCAAGTGGGGCGACTTTTCCGCCATCTTCCGGCCGTTCTGGGGCACGGGCGGCGAGATGGGTACGTGGGACGCCGAACTGATTCCGCTGCTGCCGGCGAGCTGTCGGGTTTTTGCGAGTGCCGGTGCCGGGTTCGATTGGGCTGACACGCAACTTCTCGGTGAACGAGGTGGGCCTTCCCCCTTTTCCCAGGTCGCTCTTTATTGAGTGAAACATATCAGATATGATTTGGGAATACTAACACAAAAAGGCATCATCTATTGCAACTCAGGCCTCGCCGCCGCCGAAGCAGTAGCAGACTTTGCCGTCGCTCTTGTCGTCTCAACCTTCCGCCATCTCCCCTGGTGCACGGCATCCGCCGCAGACCCGTCCGCCTTCCAAGACTGCCACGCTCGCGCCACGGCCGCCTCGCACACCCTTCGCGGCCACGTCCTCGGCCTCGTGGGCATGGGTAACATCGGCCAGCAGATCGCGCAGCGTCTCGGCGTCGGTTTCGGTATGAAAGTACACTACTTTGACGTCGTCCGCAAAGACTCAGTCACCGTGGAAGCCAAGTTTGGCGCGACGTTTCACGAGACGATGGAGAGCTTGCTGCGCGTCTCGGATTGTGTTGTGCTGTGCACACCTGCTGGTGGTAAGGTTATCACTGCTGAGTCATTGGCTTGGATCAAGCCTGGGTCGAGGTTTGTGAATATCGCAAGGGGTAGCTTGGTTGACGAGGAGGCTTTGGCGGATGCGTTGGAGTCTGGGCAGATTGGGACTGTTGCGTTGGATGTGCATGCTGATGAGCCGAGGCCGCATCCGCGGTTGCTCAAGATGGCGGGGACGAAGGCCACGTTGACATGTCACAATGCTGGAGGGACGGTTGAGACGCACAAGGGGTTTGAGGAGTTGAGTATGAGGAATATCATGGCGGTGTTGGGGGGAGGGCAGCCGATTACGCCTGTCAATCTGCATTATCTGAAGCAGTGAAGGGTGAGGTAGAATACGACTTGGTATGTCTTTCCTTGGAGTCAAGTAAGCTGCATAGAGGGTTTCATCCTTGCAGGAGAGAGAAGCTACTTATTGAACTTGAATGATGATACATACGACTTAGTACCCGCAAAATTATTGCTGACTTACATGACGGCTAGAGCAATCATGTTCATATCGTGGACTTTGAATCTAGAGGAGAAGCAAAACATATCGAAGGTGAGTCTCCGAAAGAGGTTTGTTCATAGGTTCGGAAAACGCGAGTAAGGACCTCGCATATCTGCTAGATAGGCGTTATTTTTGGTGAGACATTGATCTCAAGTATCCTATTCAACTTGATTAGAACGTGATCCCGGTTGTTCAGCTCGCTCAGCCACTCATACTAGTTTCTTCAGCCCAATGAGGCTGCCTTGCGTGTCTGCCTGGAGATGGTGAGCAAAAGCCTGTCTTTCAGGTTTCAAAGGGAGCCCTGTCCCATGCCTTAAACACACGCCTCGTAGTAAAGCACATCAAACTTGTTCAATGGCAAGGACACGACGGATCTTGCGAAATATAATGGCAAATATTCAGAAGTATACTGAGAGCAGTAATGTGCAAAGCAATCCAACTGATTGGAGCGCAAAGCTGCCCGATCCGAAAACCCACATTCGCCTGCTCACGATCCTCCCAGGTCGACAGACAGAGGAACTTCGTTGTACCTGCAGCACGATCAGACTTGATGACAGGCCAAAGTACAACGCCCTGTCGTATGTCTGGGGCAACCGTGAGGCAAAGGCTCAAGTAATTGTGAACGGCGTTCAAGTTACCATCAACAAGAGTCTGGCAGGGGCTTTGAGACGTATTCGCCATGATCGAGAGCCAATTGTTATCTGGGCAGATGCTCTTTGCATCAACCAGGATGACGAAGACGAGAAGAAGTATCAGATCGATCTCATGCATCGCATCTATGGCGAGTGCGAGAATTGTTTGGTCTGGATGGGAGACATAGTAGTGAAAGGGGATAGCAGCGTCGCAGCGGAACTGGCTGCAAGAGCGGCCTTGAACGCTGTGCGCATCATCGCAGGGCAGCCACACGACGAGGATCTCGGTTGGCCTGGACAGTACCCAATTGCTACAAGCGTTGCTGGCAATGGTCTCACCGCCGGGGCAGCATTACAATCGATGATGGACTGCGAATGGTGGCAGCGTATCTGGACAGTCCAGGAAGTCTGTCTGCCTCCGAAAGCCACGGTTCTCTGGGGACCACTCGAGATCAGCTTCCAAGCAATCATGGACGCAGCGAGCCATATGGTGCAACCAGATGAGCACCCGCAACGCAACAACATTTTCGATCTGTTCCAAGAGGGCACCGCCATGTACCCAAGGCTTCATACAAGTCCATACACGATACCCGTCCTCAGCATTGCTCACGCCAGACTCTGGAACCAGTCCAGAACCGACTCCCTGTATAGACTATGGCGGTTCCGAGATAGGAGGTCCACATATCCGAAAGACAAGCTGTTTGGCATCTGGGCGCTTCTCAACAAGACATACTTGCCTGAAATCAGGCCAACGGATTACGTCCTCGATATTGTGGTCTTATTCTCAAGACTCATGGTCAGTTTACTGAGATCTCTTGATAGCCTCAAGCCTCTTATTGGCTGGAGAGGTGAAAGAGAGACGGCCGGTCTGCCTACCTGGGTCCTGGATTTGGCCCAGCCGGAGGACTCTGATTGCACCAGCGATTTCTGGACACATGATATTGCCTGGAGGCAATTTCATGCCAGTAGTGGACTACCACGATTCAAGCCACCAGTCAAGCAAGCAGAAGATCTCACATTGCTCACTTTGGACGGCATTCGCGTTGACAAAGTGGCTACGATCTTGATGGACCTGAGGCACACGCGACAGTCCCTTTGGAGACAGGGATTTGAAGACGCTATCAAGGACCAAGCCGGTAAAGACGATATCATGTATCAATATAACAGCCTTATCCAGGGCAAATTTGGCGAGAATCGTGAGCGCGTCACGGACGAGTCTTGGCACGGGGGTCCGTGGTGGGAGGACAGGATGCTCTGTTACCAAGTTCTTTTCATCACGCAGGAGAATCGGCTTGGCCTTGGTCCGCCTAATTTAAAGCCAGAAGACAATGTTTGGATTCTTTCGGGCGGGAATCATCCCTTCTTACTCCGTCAAGTCTCAAAGAGAAGGGGTAATGCGGACTTATGGGAATTCGCCGGGGATTGCTTCGTTTACGGCATCATGTACGGAGAAGCCTCTTCTGGTGGATTTCAGCTCTCGTCCGTAACCTTGTGTTGACGCCGCTCTCATGATGGTCTCACCATCGGTGCTTGGAAAGATCTCTTAACGTGTTTCTTCAGTCCTAGCTTTGGGACATAACATTGGGTATGAGATCAAGATCTCTATGAGATCAAGATCTCATAAGACAATTTTACTTGGCGTCAAGGCTTGCCTTACAATGCAACAGCTGTGTCAAACAGTAGGCGTCATTCGCTCGTGCAGCATCAACGACAGCGTAATTCTTGCGTTCCGTCTTCTAAACACTGTATTTTCAGCGGCCGTCTCCCAATGTCTTCTGAGAGACCTACGGACGATTGAGATTGCTGTGTGAGTCTTCACATCAGAGCTTAGCTAGAGCACCCAATTACTTCATAGCGACAATCATTGATGATTATTATGTGAAATCCACGGGGGTTTCAGTGAGGCGCATCTCACTCTTGAGAGACATCTCATTCAGTTTTAGTGCAGCAGAGGGAGGCGTAGGCAGATGACTGAGAATGAGGGGCAGCAGACGGCACGTGCGCCAATGTTGTCACGAGCCTCAGCTCAAAGTGCGCTGAGCTGAGCTGAGCGCAGACAGTGAGAGTTGGAATGAACATGTCGTGAACCAGACAGGAGACGGCATCATCTTGCGACTCTACGAACTCATCCAGAACATACTGACTACTCTGGTACCCTCACCGGTGCTGACGTCAACTATCATGGCCTCCTCAAAGCGCTGGCCGGCGCCCATCCACGTCTTCTCCTACCGCGCCCTGCTCGTGGTGCCCATCATCCTCGCTATCGCGACCTTCGCGTCGCTCTTCATCCACTCCGATGTCAACGTTGCCCTCCTCTACTCACAATGCGATGCCCGGGCTCGCCTGCCGGCCGTCAGCAAAGTTCCCGTTCTCGGCCCGCCCGTCTGCTTCGCCATAAGCTTCTTCCAGAGCGCGCTCGATTCCATGCGGACCTTTGCCACCATGTCAGCCATCCTCTCCTTCATCGCCGGCCTCATGACCGTTACCACCATCGAGGCCGCACGCGTCTGTAACGCGCCCAACGTCGTTATTGCGAACCCCACTGGCCCATGGCTAGTTTTCAACCTCATCGGTGGAGCTGTAGTCTGGCAGCTTGTCATCCTACCCGCCTTTTTCCACCGCTCGCGATCTATCCTGCTCGCTCGGAAGAGGGCCGGACAGGAGGCCGTCGAGAGCGCCGCATCCAAGGATCCCGACTTTGGCAAGGACTCGCGCCATCTCGTTGTCGATGCGGAAATTATCGCCATCCCCGTCAGTGTCGCGTGGGGCTTCATTCTGCCCTCCCTGCTGATGCTCATCTACAACTCCCCGGTCATCATCGTCGTCTGGCTCTTCTTTCCCGTCTGGGTGTCACTGATCCGCCAAGCCGTCAGATGGGCCGTCTTGCGTGTGCAGAAGCGCCAGCACCGCAGCTTCCACCTCGAGTCTCACACGGTCTCGCTTCTGCTCGTCTACCTCATCCCCATTCTTTGCTCCGCAGTCTCTCACGTCTACTTCATCTGGAGCCTGTTTCAGTGGGACGACAGGAAGGAGATGACACGTGCTACAGTCAAATTCGTTGAAATTGACATGTTCTTCATCGGCTTGACTGTCCTGTATTGGCTCTTCGTTGAGACTGGCTGGAAGGTCCCCTTGGTCGCAGTCCTTGGCACCATCCCACTCGGACCGGGTGCCGGTATTTGTATCGCATGGATATACCGAGATACCGAGATTCGTGAGAGTCTGAAGCAGTGGCTTTCTGATGTCGTTGGAGGTCAAGAAGAGGCTAACGAAGAGGGCAGAGCTTCGGCTAGCGAGGAGACACCACTACTGCATTGATTGTGTGATGAGATAGCAGCAAGTAAATACAAGCCGACACTCATTCATCGCCGCGGTGACAGTTTACCTTGCAATTATCTCCCTCGCATCTATTTTCATGCGTAGATAGCTTCTTTCCCGAGAAGTCTTTACAATGCCGAAGAGTCCGCCTTGGCCAAGCATTTCGGCATCTTGATCTACATCGACACTTCGGAATCACTACTCAACGAAAGATACACAAGATGCAAGCCCCCCCAACTCCTGATGTTCCCCGCCCAATCCTCAAGCAACGCCTTTCGTCCGGTTATGAGCGTCGGTATCTTTGTCTTGGCCAACATCACACGCACTCTACCGTTGAGAAACATGGCACTACAGCCACTCTTCGAACTCTTCATACGCGAAACAGAATCCTGCGGGGGGAAAGCTCACAAGGTGCATGTTCTCTCTCCGCACGATACCCCGCGGGGGCCCCAGATCTGTCCCCGGATCCTCGTTCAAGGTTAATTGGCTGGTGTCGATTGGATGCCAGGTCTAGATTTCTGTCTTGGTATCTGCCACCTCTATAAATATGGGTCAGCCATCGTAAAGGGGCGTCTTGTTTATCTGAGCTCATCAGCCTGCAAACGTGACGACTGACGACTTCACAAAGAATCGTGTTGATATCTCAGGCACATACCTTCTTCACCATGGGTTTCGCTTCAGCAAAGGGGACGAACGACCCCCCCGAGGTTCGCAACTGGAGAATCCACTTCATTGCTCTCGTTGCGTCCATGGCAGCCTTGTCCAGTAAGTGAGGTCTTGGGAGAACCCGAATATTCAATTCATTGCCCTTTCTGACGCAATAGAAATCTGCAGTGGGCTATGATACGGCCGTCATAGGAGGCACAATGGCTCTCGACTCCTTCGTCCGCGACTTTGGCATCGACAAGATGACCATCCAAGAAAAGAATAACTCCTTAGCCAACATCGCCTCCATGTTTCAAGTCGGCGCCTTCTTCGGTGCCCTCCTCACCTTCCCCGTTGCCGAGAAGTACGGTCGCAAGAAGGCCATCATGATGGCGGCTCTCATCTTCTGTGTAGGCGGAGCCATGATGTCCGGAGCCAACGGCGACCTCAAACTTGTCATCGGTGGCCGCGCCATCGGCGGCCTTGGTATCGGCATGGCTACCATGACGGTTCCGGTCTACATCGCTGAGACGTCACCGCCGAGTATCCGCGGACGCCTCGTGGGCATTTTTGAGATCTTCTCTCAGGGCGGCGGGATGCTCGGGTTCTGGATCAACTACGGCACGAGCCGTACTATCGAAGTTGAGAATGAGGCGCAATGGATCGTGCCGCTGGCCTTACAGCTCCTTCCGGCCTTTCTTCTTTTCGTTGGCATCATGTTCTGTCCAGAATCACCCCGTTGGCTGGCTCGAGGTGATAACTTCGAGGCCGCGGAAAAGGTTCTGGTATACGTGCGAAGCCTCCCCGCCGATCATCCCTATATCCAAAATGAGATGAGCGAAATACGACAACAAGTTGAGGAGCGAAGCACCGTCCGACTCAGCAAGAAGCAACAACTAAAGAAACTCCTTGCTCCTGGCACGAGAAACCGCGTGGGCACTGGGACGTTTCTCATGTTTCTGCAAAGTTACACAGGTGTCAACATAATGACATACTATAGCATTTACGGTAATGACTCTAAAGGATAACCATCTGTCTCTGTCCCCGTACCCGAGGCTGACACCCTAAATCAGTTTTCGAGACCCTTGGAATCACTGGAACCAGCAACAAGCTATTCAGCACCGGGATCTACGGGATCGCAAAGATGTTGGGCATGATTCTGTTCGCAGTATGGGTCATCGAGGGCCTCGGCCGTCGCAGCGGACTTCTATGGGGTGCTTTCGTTGGCAGCATTCCCCTCTGGTATGTGGGCGGGTATGTCATGGTTGCTAATCCGACCGCCAAAGCAGCGAGCGGTGTCATTCAACAAGATGCGTGGGGTTATCTTGCCATGGTCTGTATTTACCTCAACGCCTTCATCATCTGCTCCACAATCCAGGGAATCACGTGGACATACGCATCCGAGATCTTCCCCTTGGATATCAGGATGCTCTGTGTCGCTATGTCTACCGCGTGTACGTGGTTGGGCTCCTTCATTGTCGCGAGAGCCACTCCTTTCATGATTACCGACCTCGGGTACGGGACGTTCTTCATGTTTGGAGGATTCTTGATCTTTATCGGCGTTTGGTCATTCTTCTTCATTCCGGAGACAAAAGGTCAGTTCTACTTATCGCCAAGAATGCCTCTACGCTCATGTTTTATGCTGACAATCTTACCATAGGTCGCTCGCTGGAGGATATGGACATTCTGTTTTCGCGGCCGACACATGTGGTTGTTTGGGCACAGCTCAGGGGAAGGCCGATCCTGTCGACGAATACTCCAATGTCGCCCAGAGGATCTATAGACAAAGGCGAAGTCAAGGTGGTTGACATGGCCTAGTGTGATTTCAACCACGGCATCCTCTCATCTCCAAGAAGAGTCTGTTGGCATTACTAACCGAAAGACGCTCTATTTATTACCACAAGTCCGTTACGCGTAGACACAAGCAATTAGTTCTCTTATCAATCTGCGGTTGACTTAGATGATACGTGCGTGGTTATAGATCTTATCATAAGACCACTGTTCACGGAAAAGGCATGGCAGCGAAATGAATGAGGCAATGAAATCTTGTTGTTCGCCGATACTTTCAAGACATGATGGTCACCGAAGTCTTCAGGTGCCTAGACTACAAGATCGCCACTGCTGAAGGCGGGCTAGCGATCCCGCCAGGGATATCCAGAGGTACACTGACCATCATGAAGGACCATCTCTGGAGTTCTTTACACCTTACAGCGAGCCTCTCCAAGTCGAAACTCTCTCCAATCGGCATGCCCCAACCACTCAGGAACACCTCATGCATGCTAACGCCCCATGGTTTTGGGCTCGGCCAGGCCTCGTACGCAACAGTATCCGAGGCCACCGCAGCAAACGCATGATCCCAGTGCCAGCGGATCGTCTCTTCGCTTGCTTCGACGCCACAACTTGCTCGCACTTGCCGTTGGGGTAAAGCAAGTTGTTCAGCGACGGTGAGCGCACGGTACGCCGGTAGCCAGCCTGTTCGGACTAGCAGGATGTCGCCTTGTTGAAACTCGATTTTCTGAGCGTTTGCTACGGCCTGGAGTTGAGACAAGGGAATGCCAAAGGTTGAAAATGGGTCAAAGGTGATGTTTTTCTCGGTTGCCCAGGAGTACCAGTCAAGTAGAACACCGCGGCCAGTGATGGACTTCCTTGCCATATCTAGTGAGCGAAGCGTTAGGAAGCGGTCTTAGAGACTGTGAAGCAGGACTTGGGCGTTGTTCTTCTTACTTTGAATACCGAGTTTAGTGTTGTTATCGGGCCCTGAAATATCATCTTGAGTCACGCCATTGTAATATTGAATATGCTCTTGGTAAGGATAATGTCGTGGCCCATCCCAATGCGTTGCGCCTTGCGTATTGATGGAGATCTGTTCCCGCAACTTGTTAGAGACTCGTGACCGCGAGCCATGGCTCAGAAGACTAACCTCGTCGTCATTAGCGTTGCCTTTTGGAATGATACGGTGTTCGCACGGCTTTCGAACTGGGTTCATTGGCTGTATAAAGGCATCCAATGGAAGACTGTTGTATAAGAGCTTGTTTAGCGCTGAAACTGAAGAAAGCTTTCACATGGCCTGTCAAGTGTACTTACTTGAGCGTTATTGTCTCGCCTATGACCACCTCACTCGTGGCATTCTTGACCAAAGCTGGGTTCAGAAGATTGAGAGCCCCGAGTTCATCTTCATCGCCCCATAATCCCCACGCTGATGCTTTCGGATCTCCCACATGGAGCGGCAAAGAGTCAAAGCTTGGCCGGGTGCTTACTTCGGTTGAATTAAAGTTGCCCATGGCTGAATCAGCTGGAGAAGACAGTGAATTCCCTTGTGTTTCAAACACCATTGTATCTATTCCAAAGAAGCTTTTAATAATGCTCAAGACTGAACATGCTCATAGGTAGACCGAGATCACAGGCCGAGGGTCAGCTGGAGATCGGCTTGGGGAGACCCGCAGGCTGCGACTAGGAGTGACGGCGATCCCGGCAAGATCGGTATTCTTTCCGGCTGACACCAACCCCCAACCCACAAGTCCAAGGCAATTCGGCATGTTCTCAAATGCATCCGAATGCTCCGCAGAGAGGAACTCGAGGCCTCAACGCCTTCGGACAACCTCCGCCGCGTTCACAATTCCGGGAGCTATGGGAACAAGCCAGCTTACCGGTATCCCGCCGGCTTATCATCCCCTCTCCATTGAAAGTGGCTTCAATGTTACAGTATCAATTGTATTACAAAGTAGTTGACGGCCATACGCTAGCTTTCCCTTTAGAAGCCATCGAGGTGGGATCCAGATGGCCAAACTAGACTCGTGCCGGAGAACGACATGCCAGAATCGCCCAAGATGTGATCTGCAACTCCCCATGGGAACGCGTCCGGTTGAAATCCGGCCCCTGTGTTTGTCCCACCGTAACTAACATCGTTACTCCAGCTGCCCCCCTCCGTGAAGAACGCATTCTCATCTACCTCTGGATCGATAGCAGAAGAAAGCTGTGAGGCATTTTGTGCCGCCGGGTGATTTCTAGTCGAAGTGATATGACGGCCCATATTCCCTCTTTGCACACCACCCATTCGTGGGTTCAGTGACCCTGTCTGACGCGAATCAATTTGATGGGAGTTCTCAGAAGAATTCGAGGCAGCATTGTGTCTGCAATCCGAGTTGTTGCCAACGCCTACAACTCGGGGTTGCCCTTTGCTCAATAGCCGACGAATGGTATCGAGACTTCTTCCGCTTCCGGGGGTATGTGAAGCTTCCTGCTGGAGTATACGACAGGCGGCTGCAAGCCTGGCTGCCGCGTTTTCTCTCTCGATACCAGTTGATGCTCTTTTCAGCTCTTCGGCTTCAACTGTAGCAGCTGTATATATGCAGTAGCTGACTTGATACGTCATTAGTCGATGAGGGAAAGTCGTTGAGAATAGTGAATGAATCGAGTGAATCTTCTTTGAATGGCGTACGCAGACCTCGAGCGCCTTCTCCTTGATTGTGGTGTCGGAAGAGCTCAAATACGGCCTTCTTAAGAGAATGTGTAGAGCATGGTAAAGGAGACTTTCCTTGTGTCAAAACCGGGTCTACTGAGGGAGAGCGACGAGAACTTACTTCAATGACACAATATGTGGGGGAGGGCTTTGATCTAACATGGATGCGTCCTCGATTCTCAATGGACTCGGAATCTCATGATACCACTGACATATCCTGCTGTCAAGCTCCTCCATCTGTGTAGTGAACTCCTCGTTCCTGCTCGTGCTTGAGAACAGCAACATCATATCTGTAGTGGCTTCGTGAAGCCGGCAAAACGCACAAAAGGCTGATGTCGTCCAGGAAGGCGAAGCAATAAAGTTTTCGGAGACTTCGGTAGCTTGAACAGGCTTCCAGGAGCGTTGATCGTCAACTTTATCCAGTATATCCTGAGCAGGGTAAGGACGTCGTATTAGAGAAGGCGGACGGCCTAGGGCCAGGCTGAGTGTCTTATCCCAGATGTAAGCTGAGTTGTACAGCCTCTTTCGAGTCTCTATCTCAGCAGGTGTCCATCTCTCAAGCCTGGAAAGCTTAGTGATGTCCAGGTGAAGCCCAATGTCTTTCATCATCCGTACTGCCATGCCGGTGTATAACCAACCTTCGGAGCTTTTCCCCATGGCACACTGGCGCCCGCCTAGAATCAGCAACCCCTGAATTGTAGGAATCGCTGGCTTCATGGCCGTCATTTCCTTCAGTAACAGCTCCCTTGCACGTGCGATGAACTGGTCGCCTCTCCCCACTCCAGCTGCTGCGGTAACTTGCTCAGGCAGATGTCGAGCTGCTAGACCGAAGATACATAGGAGCAAGAAATCGGTGCAATATGGTCCTCCGAGAGCCAGATCCATCATTAGGATAGGTCTGTAGACACAGCTATGAAGTGGATGTAGCCACGTCCAATAGATATCAAGAAGAGCCATGCCGAGAGTGGTGTCGATGCCGGTGCCGTTCATTACTGGCTTCGCAGCGATCAGAGGCAGCCACACCGAGTCCATCAAAGCATACTGAGACTGTAAAACTTCTACTTGTGCTCGCTTTGGGTCGCTATCCTGATGTTCGCCGGTCAGGTGGGTTTCCTCAAGGGAGCCAGCATGAAAGCGACTTGTCGGACCATTGTAGATGACAGTACCGTCCTCTCCGAGGCCGACCTGGAACCAAAGCGAACCCTCCGTGTCGGCATTGGCTTCAGCAGCACGACTACCATCGTGAGATAGTGGGTGGCTGCGAGCCGTACCGGGATTCGTAATATCGGTATCAGGTGTCTCGAGGTCTGGCTGAGGCTCGTTGGAAGACCGAATCGGACTCCTCATTGATGCCTCTAGATTCCGAATGCGAGCATTTGCCTCTCGAAGTCGGAACTCGGTCGAGTTCTGTGCCGGCCAGCTGCAAGTCTCCCCGGACCGGCGGCATCCCGTACAGATGGGCCGATTTCCACTGCACTTGACCTTGCGAGCTTTGCAGCTTGAGCACGCAAATCCATAGCGGCGAGCTTTCCGGGCAGTAGAAGATGCCGAGGCGGAGGCTATCTGTGCTTTCGGCGTTTGCAGACCGGCTTCGGCATCTTCACTTCCGTCGGAGCCTGCCATAGGCCGGACAGAAAGTTATTCGGTAGTTTTCTGAGGAGTATTCAGTATTACTGTAAAGTGAGGAGACCGAGATCAGGCAAAGATGTGGCAAGTCGAGCCGAATATACTGGCAAAGTTGTGAAGGTGAGATGTGAAGTCTCAACAGTATTCACGGCATTTCCCCACAAGCCGCCTCCTCATTGCGGGGAAGCGAGGAGATGCCGACGGGATGCCGCTAACACACCACGTAGACGTGATCCTATTTGCCTAGGCCAACGTGAACGCTCCCTCCTCCTTTTTAAATGATTCCAATTTCTTTGTTGAGCAGCTCGAACCATCAGGGACTGACAACCCCCATAGCATGGGCCTTAAGAGACAGAAGGGGAAGTGCGAAGAGGTGTATCCTCACATAGTAGCTTTGAGAACTGGGGCCGTGTCAAGCAAAAGAGAATTTGATGCACATATTAGAACTTCATCATCCTTATGCCGAAGCGATCATACATGTTACATCTATTGTACGTGATGCATATCCTCATGCCTGACGCCGCAGGCTAGGCTCTACGTCCTATCAATATATACAAGGTCCAGCAAGGTTGGTGCCCATGTAGACAGCTCGGAAATACTCCTCCTTCCAACAGAGCTTAAAAAGGGAATGTGACTGAAATCATTACACAGTGCTCAAGAGCGTTGTAACCAAGTTGAATTTCCTGACTATGTGCTCTGCACCAAGATCTTGTATCCAGTCACTTCGGCACCTCTGAGTTGATTAAGTGTGTTCTATGTAGTCCTTGACAGCTGAGATCAGGGAACATATCGGTACAGAGGATGGTCATCGCCCTCCTCGGAAACTTCTGGAGGAACATAGTCCAGATCGCTTTTGCCGTACTTCTCGTCGCGCTTCTTGTTCTGCAATCTTAAGCAAAGACTGAGAGTAGCTGCTATGATAGCCGCGCCAAACAATAGTCCAGCACAAATCCACATACCCTTGGAATACCAAGGTTGAGCCGATTTCGGGAACAAACGAGCTCCAAGAATAGGCCCACACTGTCCTACCATACCGAACAAGGCCAAACCTGCGCCGCGTTTAGATGCCGAGCCTTGATTATCCGTTACCCACGTAAAGGTGATGGCAACCGCCGGGAACACTCCCGCACAAACAAGGAAAGTTGCAAAGTAGCGGACCCCAGTGCTGTGGATTGTTGCAAGCAGGACATAACCAATGGCCCCCACGGAACAGAACAACGCGATAAAGATACCCCGACTCCTAAGACGATCCGAAACAAAGCTGGCAGAGACACAGACCACATACGCGGTCAGGTAGGGGCAAGCGGATAGACCCTGAGCACGAAGTGAAGTAAAGCCCATGGCCTCAAGAATCGTGGGTAGGTATGCCGGAAGGGATCCAAAGGCGGTGTTGAGACTGAAGATGATGATAGCTTGCAAGTAGTTCTTGTAGTCGAAAAACGCAGCGAAAGCTTGCTTTCCGTTTAACTTTCCGCTTCTTCTTTCGCCGCGGCCTTTTATGGCGCGATGACTGATGATCTCGTTCTCGCGGGAGCTGAGGAAACGGCACTCGGCTGGGGAGGCAGGGAGGAAGAAGTATGCCACGACGGCGAGAATTATCGTTGGGGCGCCCTCTAGAAGATTAATGAGTCAGTCAATAACTATGAGTATCACTTAGGTAGAACATGGTTCTTGCCACACTTACCCACAAGAAAGAGGAGTTGCCAGCTGTGAATAGACGCCTTCACGTGCAGCAGGCCGTAAGCAATTGCAGAGGCAACACAGCTCGCAAGCGGTGCGAATGAAATGAAAAGCCCGTATCGGAGACCCATCTCACCACGATGATAGAAGAAGGTCAAGTATAGTGCGACAGCTGGGATAAATCCAGCCTCGAAAGCTCCAATCAAAAAGCGCAGAGCCATCATGCCTGCGAGATTGGTTGTGACTGCTTGAAGCATGCTCATGGCGCCCCATCCAGAAACCATCATTGCAGTCCATAATGGCAAGGGAACGAAGGTCCAGACGATAATCAACTGGGGGATTCGACTGTCAGCGACAAGAAGCCAGAGACTGGAGAGTCTGTAGAGAGAGTCTCACCCAATGAAACAAGATGTAGCCAATGTAAAGAACGGTCACGATCCAAGAGTAATCGTCCGAAGTAATACCCCAGTCTTTCCCCATGCCCGCAGTGTATGCGTTCCCGACATTGCCGCGATCAATGTAAGAGCAGAAATTAAGGGCTCCGAGCCTGCGTAGACAATGTTGCCAGTAAATAGAAACTGTCTTAATGCAAGGTCCTGGCCAAGAAGACGAACAGAGCTTTCCTGCTGGCCAAGAGTAAGGTACTCACAGGGGTATCAGACTCCAATCGAGCTTTCTCAAGGCAGAGCCCTCTTCCTCGCTGGTCCAAGTGACCGTGGCTGTGCCATCTCCCGACTTCAGGTCGTCAACAACATCAATCTCTTCCATTCGACCGCCGGAAGAAGGCTTGGCGTCTTCGACGTGGGTTGGATCCTGCTTCGCTTCTTGGCGCGTAGCTGACATGGTAACAGCAGAGTCTTGTAAAGAACCCGTGAAGAACTCTTGGGCGAATTGGTTAGAGTCGATACGGCCGAGGAAGGGCTTCTCAAAATTACAACTTGAGCTTCTTGAGGACGGCTTTTCGCACACTTTCGTAGGAGATCATAATGGACTTATGTTCAACTTATTCCAGTCATTGTGAGCTTGTCTCAAGTGGACCAAAATATCATCCAGACATCCGGAGAGAGGTTTGCCTACCCCACGGGGAAGGCTCCCCCGCCAAAATCTCAAGCCAACTCATACTAGGTGGGTAGACTAAGAAAGCCATCACACTAGGTCTCGGTATCAATGCCGAGTGATGTTCTGTAGACCAGGAGGCACGAACTTTTGGTAATACAGATTTAGTCAAATAAATGTGTCCATGGGAGATACCGAATAATCAAAAGAGATGGAGGGGGAGATACCGAGGAGAACCCCGCAGATCGGATTGAGTTACCGAGCTTGCTGTGTAAGATTCCGAACAGCCCTGTAGCGCAGGCTTTCGCAGAATAATCTGAGCCCTCGGGCGGGCAAATGGAAGGCTAAGCAAGAACGTCATATCCTCCAATAGACTGGCTGAGGACATCGGAGAGCTTCCGAAAGACGGCATTCATGAGCGTTACCCGATTTCGCTCAACTGATCTCGAAGGCGCGGTTTCAACTTGACAAGTCAAAAAGAACGCGTCCTGCCAGGGTTTCAACGATCTTCTGAGTGCATCGGGATTTCAACCTTTTTCAATTGTCTGTCAAGCGTACATTGCTCGCTTTTGCCATGGCGACATCTAATCCATCAGATGAGTTCACTATACTCACCCCGAATGCCATGCTTGGCTACGGATATGACTCGAATCATTTTTGGTACGGTATCAACAAGTACAAGCCCAGCGCCATAATTGTCGACAGCGGCTCCACCGATGGCGGGCCGTATAAGCTCGGCATGGGCAAGATGACGTGCGGCCGCGGCTCCTACACGCGAGACCTCGAGCCCATTCTCGCAGCATGTTATCACCATAAGATCAAAGTCCTGATTGGCTCTGCCGGAGGTGACGGCAGCAACAAGCATGTTGCTGAGATGCTCGATCTGGTCAAGGAAATCACGGAAAGTAACGGATAAGTCAACATACCCACTTCCTGGCACCCCCCTTGTTTCTGGCACCACAAAAACGATGGGATCACAACCCAACCTCCTCATTACTATTAACTATTGATCCTCAACCACACCCACTACAATACAGCTGCCAGCCTCACTAGGGCATTCAGAGTCGCTGGATTCAGCCGTGATAACCTCCTTTTCACCCGCTTCGATTTGAGCCCGATGGATATCCCTGATGTTCGCGAACTTCGTATTGGGATCG